GGCCAGGCTAGATGTGGCTCTGAGGAACCTGGTCCAGGGGTAGGTGTCCTTGCCATAGCAGGAGGGTTGTAACTGAATGATCTTTAAGGTCCCTTGCAACCCACAGGATTGTATGAAAAATTTGTAAAAGGGATCTTTTATCCAGTTGTATTAAAGTAGAACTGATGCAGTGAGAGGCACCAATCATGCTTGCATTTCAGTTCTTAAAGCAGAATTTCAGGGCAGAAGTAGTCACAAAAAAAACTGGGAGAGAAAATTAGAGTTCCTCAATGAAAAACATGACTTTAGAGTTTATCTATGATTGATTCAGATAAGAAACAAGCCTTGTTTCAGGACAGCCTGTCTACTAAGCTAGTCTCATTGGAAACAATAACAACATGGATTTTAAATGCAACAAGACATTTCAACTACAGCAATGCACAGAGGAAAAAAGCAATACAATAATTTAGTAGAAGTTGCTAGTCTTCAAATTCACCAGTCCTAAAAATTTCTAGGTCTGTTTATCTGCTGTGGTGCTCTTATGCTTTCATGGAACACTGCTGAGCTCAGCTTTAGAGGACAAGACTTTGTCCTGCACTTGTCATAGCACTTTTGCCAATATATTTTAGGGTAATATCCTGTTAGATATTCATAAAGCTTACAAACCAGTGAACACTCCACTCCTGGAAAACTCCATTTTAATTTGAATAACAGAGAACAGGTGAGTTGTCATTTTTGTCAGTTGCACTCTTCTCCTTCTACATAATCTTCCAGCACTGCCCCCAATTCAGCTATGCCTAAACTATGTTTTCTGTAGGCAAGGAAACATGCTGTTAATTTAGTTTTGAAATAAATATATCCTAGAGCAGGAGTAGAAGATATAATTTAATCATCTGCATTACTGAAAATGAAAGCAGTCCTAAAATATATATTTTAGAAAAGGATATTAAAAGGGAAGTTGGTAAGGCATGGAATGGCTACCTTGTAAAGGATGGCCAAGTAATCCAGCATTCCTGAGCCTGGAAAAGACAAATGAGGGATGAAATTATAAAGGTCTATATAAGTGTGAGTGTAAGGAAAGTGTGATTTCTGACCTGAGCAGAAATCAATTGCTTGCTGTCACACTCAGAACAAGATACAGGGGGGTAACAGAATAATTTAGCAGGATTCTGGGTTCAAGATAAACAGAAAATAGGTTGTCTTTTTTTTTTTTTTTTCCTTGCAGTAAGTAGTGCAACAGAAGAAATTTTTGAAAGATGTTGAGGTCTAAAGGAAGCTGATGAATTTAGCTAAAAGGCTACATGCATTCAAACAAGACTGGACAAGTTTATGAAGGAGAAATCCAGTAAGGACTTCTAAATACATAGGGATCATGTTGAACCTGAAAGTTCCTAATATTCAAAAAAATATTAAAGACTGAAGAATATACAGGAGGAATAACTATATAAACTTCAAAGTAAGATAGTAGGTAAATCTTACTATGAAAAATCATAGATAGGAGGCTCAAATCTCTGAGTATAGCTTTTCTTTTAGTAGCCAAGGAAGGAAGAGGTATGTTTGAAGACCTGTAAATAAGAAGTAATCTAGCTAGGTCCTCTCTACATCATGCAAATGCTATAAGTTCTTGACAATGAAAACATAATAATCTGCCTTTTCATTCTGTGCTGGCTCTATTTTATAGGAAAAGAGCCCTTATTGCTAATTTAAATTAAAAGCTTAAAGCACCTTGTTCCAGAATCAAGTTCATTAATATGAATCCTAAATGAAGACAAACACCTGAGTGTCACAGGGAAATAGCTCTTTAAAAATCCATTTACCTTAGCCAATAGTTTAATTTGGTTTAGTTTAGTGTGTGCTCCAGCTCTGTAAGAGAGATCCAGGCAGTGACCCTCTGGGATGCAGAGGTCATTCCCAGGCCAAATCAATGACATCCCAGATGAATGCAGTTCTTATTTCATAATAGATCTGAGGAATATTTAAAAGAGGAATCAGGGCTATCTGAGTATCATACATAACACAGTTTAGAAACAGGATGCTTTGGTCTTTTATTTTGCCTGCAGTCATGACCAGGTCCTCTTAAATCTAAAATGCTTGTTTTGGTTCTAGGCCAGTCAGGGTTAATTTTTGCAGTAGCCAGGAGGGAGTAGGAGGACCCTGAGGTTTTTGATACCACCTTATGTCATTGCCAGGGGCAGGGGAAAGGGACTCTGGCTTCTTAGGAGGAGGGATTCCTTCTAGTCAAGAAAACATGATGGATGGAACAGTCTGGTATTATTTATTATCAGGGCCTTTTCACTGTAAATAATTTCTCCTTCTTCACCTTCTCTTTCTCCTTCTCCTTCTTCCACCTTTTTTTTTTTTTTGTAATTCTATTGCTGTTACTGTTTATTTTCTTCCTTATTGCTGTTTCCAGTAAGTTGTCCTTATCTCAAATTTCACCTTTTGTGCCTCCAATTGGAGCAGGGGAGGGGAAGTGGCAGCATGGTTTCTAAATTGGAGAATACCATTCCTAAACCATGGCAGCACTAGAATTATTTTTTGTAACCTGTGGAACATTCAGATTTGCACTTTAAAGTTTCTTTATAGAGTTATCATTGCACAAGTAACAAGATGCAGAGCAAGGAAAGCAAAGAAGATACAAAACTATGCAAAACTCTTCCAACACCCAGTCACTAGCCTGTAGTAGTAGACCAAGTATAATACCCATGTTAGAGCCATGAGATACCAGTTTAGTCATATGTCCAATTAAGCCAGCTTTATATGGTGCAACATTGAACCAGATAACCCTGGAAATGTGAGTGAAGTTCTTCCCAAAGACCTTTCATTTACAAGAAGCTGAGCATGCTGTTAGGCTTAAGAAGGGAAGGGCTGGGACAGGCCCTGTGTGACATAACTGCACCTGGACCTGGACCTGGACCTGCCTTCCCTCCCCTCTGTGCATATGTGATAATGCCCCCCTTTGCTTGAGCAGCTCCTACTTGCAGCTGCTTCATCCAAGTGCTCCAGGTCCTGCTAGGAAGAGGAATGGCTGCACACCCAGCATACAAAGCCCAGTGTACGTGGAAGCGGGAGTAGGAGGCTAGCACTGGAATTAAACTGTAAGATGGGAACAGAGTCTTGCTTCACGCCTTAATGGGTCACATACAGGTTAGGGGCTCAGGAAATCAAAACACAAAGAGATCAATGTATTGACGCATTGACCTGGGTGTCAATTAATGGTTTTAGCTATGCAGTCAGGAGCTGTGGTGGGGCAGGACCACACAGTGTCTTGCCTGACCTGCAACAAGCTTCCATTCATACTCTTACCTTGGAATAGTCCACCCTGGCGTCCTGTAGGCCTGCCTCAGTTCAGGAATCTCCTTACTTCTCTTGTAACAACAGACACCACAGAAGTCTCCATATGTGATGTCACCAGAAAGAATCCCCCCTTTACCTGATCACTTCACATTCAGAAATTAAAAGCATAGAACAACACGATGTTTGTCTGTCTTTGACCTCAGTACTAAGCAACTGAGAGGAGCAGCTGTTTCTGGGAGAGTGGGAACTACAGAGAAAATTTATTAAAGAAGCCCTGCTTCTTCTGTCTTCTAACTCTGATGGGAAGAAAGAATTCCACTGTGTATTTAAACTCCTTTTCAGATAGGGGTCTAAATGAAGATCAGTCCTTCCTTAGCCTCAGATTTTGGCAAACAGTTTAAATTTAAGGAATCACTTTGTCTGGCAAGTTCTAGTGACGGCAAATCAAATATATTTATTTTTAAATTAATTATTTATTAAACAGACTAAAGATAACAGATTAAAAACCTTAATCAGAATTAGTTACTCCACAGTATATAACTAAAATAACTACTAGTAGATTACAGCATGAAACAATGCACTATGACAAGGTACCTATATTAAAGCTAGTAAAAGAAAGAATATTGATTAGGAGTCAAATGCAATTTATCACTGAAATGATCATAATGGACACAAATGCCTTTACTTAACCCCTGAGGAATAACCACAAAGTAGGTTAATATTAACAGGAGAAACTTCACACATTTCCAGGAACATGTATACAAGATTTCTGCTCTGTGAAGGTTTTGTGTAGTTTTAATAGTTGTAGAGTGGTTGTCACCCAGAAATGCAGTCTGTCTTGCCAGATCTCACTTCAACACTAAGATTTTTATTGACATTTGGGAAATGCTAGAGCAGTGATCATGGCATCAGAATCACTCAGTGATTATTCAAGATTACACCCCCTGAAAGACAAGACAGCTTGTCCTGTTTGAGTTATCTAATTGGCTAGAAAACAACAGATGTGAAGGGTAAGATGCTCTGCTACAGAAGCCCACTATCTGGGATTTTACTCAAGCACATGGGAGTAGCATCAGGTTACTGATACATATCAGATGAAGTTATGGACTAAGTGGAAAAATATAAAGCAGTACAAGGCTGCAAGGTGTTTTCCTTGAATGCATTTATCAAAGCATGCATGGTGAATCTCCTGAAGACCTATGAGGAAAGCTTAGCTGGACAAATTCACCTCATTGCAGTGGAAGAATCATGACCTTTTGTGGAGAATCTTCTTTTCTAATCACTGTAACACATCTTGACCAGAACAAAGACATATGTAATATTATCAAAAAAGACTGCAGTGTTTTTCTTGATCTGGCATAAGTCACTGAAACAATCACTTCAGTAAGCATTTGTTCCATGTGAACAGGTCTCAACTCTTTCATACCTGTGCAAAACCTCATGTTGCTTTCAAAAGGAGCAGGGTCACATTATAACAGTATTTAAAAAGCAGATAAGCTGGTTACAGCAGATATTATTACGTCATTTTTGGTACTCTGTGATATCCATTAGTACAGCACTTTATAATTTGCAGTGCAATTACACATACAGCATCTGTGCACTGATGACATAGCTAATTATCTTGATTTCAGAGCTGGCAGGCTAAAGTGCACAGAAATAGCTTTGTGTTGGTAAAAAGGACTGACCCTACCAGGCCCACCCAGACATGAAAAATGACAGCAGGGAAGGTCTGTGACTCTGGTGGCATTTCTCTGCAGTCATAGTTAAGTGGCCTTAGGCACCAGTGGGAATGCAGCCATGACAACCCAACTTCCTTAGTCACAAAAAACCACTGCACCCAAGAAAACTGGCTGGCTGCTTACATCAGCACTGCTTTACCAAAAGATGTCAGGCAAAGTACCCTGTTACAGGCTTGAGAACTGCTGTCTATGTTTTATTTAAATACAACCATTCTACAATCACCTATATCAAGCTCAGTGGTATCTCTGTAAGTGACTTTCATGTCAAAGGTCTCTGTGGCATTTAAAAAAGGTTTTGAAATATGACTGATGTCTTAGAAATGGACCTAGGTCAACAAAGAGACTTGTGAATCTAATTCTAGCATTGAATTAAGAGGTCTACCTCTGAAAAGAGTGCCTTACTCCCATTAAAGAATTATTTTTAAATAAATTATTGATGAACTAATGTGCAAAGTTTAAAACTAAAGAAACCAAAATGAATGCCATCAAAAGTCATCATCTCCCAAACCATAATTAAAAAGTCTTACTGCAAGTAATATAAAATCTTGGTCAGGTTCTGAGTTCTCACCTCATTTTTTAATATTGTCCTGGTAAAGTACATGTTTGTTTCACTATTAGAAAATTTTGCACTTCAGCAGCACACCTTGATGCATGTTTTACATGTAGCATCCTCTGTTTCTCTTCTCATTCTGGTAGTATGGCTTGGCACTTTCTAATACATTGAATAATACACTTTCTAAGACATTGAATCTTGCTGCAAGGAAAAATACAGGTGTGAAGGAGGCATCATGGATGGATATTGAGATATTTGCCAAAAGGTTCTTACTTGCTCCTGAATAGGCATGGAGAAAACAAACAAACAAACAAACAAACAAACAAAACAAAACAAAACAAAACAAAAAAAAAAGGCAAAACTTGGGCATTCTTATTTTGAAACTGTTTTAATTCAAAACTATTCCTAAAGGAAATACAGGTCAGGCTGTCTATTCACTGAATGCAAGAATATTTTCCTAAGAATATAGGAAAATAGAAAAATTCACTTATTAAAACATTTTAAGGACCAGATTTAGGATGTATTTCTCCAGACCACATCTTCCTATGTCCACAGTGTTTGGGTGATGTGATTTTATCATGTTTCTCATAGGTTCATGCCCAGAACATATTGCTGTTTTGTAGGATGAATGATTACAGAAATGAACATCAAATTAATACAAGAGAATATCACTAATAGAATAATTATTTTTTAAACATTCTGGAGTAGCCATTTTTATATTTATATATATATTATATATAACAATATTATATACATATATTATATATATATATTATATATCATGTATAACTAAGGATGACTAAGTTAATGTCTTTGGGGGTTGGAGGTGACCATCATCTTCCAAGCTTTCTTTTTGTGAATAAAATTCTATAATCAGGGCTCATGAGGTGTAAACACATCTATTAATTTTTCAGTTACCTGTGCACATCTCTAGTTACCCATGGTTTCCAAACCCACACTGCTCTGTTCTCATCTTGTTACATTTCTCTATAAATTTTCCACACTATCAATGCAAACACATTTGTCACCAGATCCATGGCAACCAACAGACCACGCAATTCAAAAGTCTGTCTTTGCCTTGTCTGATGTTCTGTGCCACTGACCATAGCTGCTAGAGCACATTCAGGGAAGGCAGAACAAATACATGAACACCTTCCAGCAAGGTATTATTCCATGTTCTTCTTGGGCTCATTACTTGTGTTTAGTAGCATCGCACAGCCCACACGTGAATGCAAGACACAAAACTTACCTCGCTATGGACAGTTGCACTGATAGACCAACTGGCTATGTTTGTATTAAAAAGTATTTCACTTGTGTACAACTCTCAAAGCAGGAAAGAAAAAGTAAATCAAACCTAAACAATGGCAACAACAACAACAACAAAACAGCAAAACCAGATTATCCAGTTAGCTTTAAATAATGTTATAAATTCACCCTAATTCTTGGCAACTGTTGCTGGGTTGAAAGGTTTTTTTGTGGGATGTAATCTGAGCTGTAATTGTCCAGTAAAATCCAGTAAAATTTTTCCTTATGTCTGACAGTCCTACAATTACAATGTTTTATCTGTTCATCATCTTGAAGCATTTCTTATAGGATCTGAATGTGGGGTGAAGGACTCAATTATTGGCTAATAAATATTTCAAAATTATAATTGCTTTTATAAAATAGCAGTTCATATAAGTAATAACATGACTGAAAATTCAACTGCTTCCCATGTAAACTGCCTTCACTGTGGAATTGTATCCTATATTTAATAACATTAATCTGTTTTGTTGGAGAAGGTGGTAGAACTGTAAAACAGACTGGTTCCCAACTGATAATGAGTAGAATTAGGTTCCTTCAAGCTTCCTCCAGTTCATTCCTCAACAGTGATTACTTGATCATTTGTCTACTGAAGACTGATAATAGCAATACAGCTGCTGCTGCACGTTTAATTTGTTGTGCTTGTGCCTTCAAAACTCAGAGACTTCACAGAAAAAGCATGTATTTCCCAGGAATGTTAGACTTGCTGTAGGGAGCTTAGTCATACTCCCTGTCCTCTCCTCTCCTCGGTGGGCAGGTTCTGTTGCTCATCACCACAAGGTAGTCAGACTTGAGTGTTTTACCAGAAAAAGTTCTGAGCATTAGGCAGCAGGGCATTAATGCATATTCTATTCTTTGCTACAATCTTCCCCTCTGTGCAAATAAGAGTAGTTATGGTGTTGTCAGTTCCAAATCACTTGTCCTATTGAAAAAATAACTAGCAGTAGTAGAAGATGATATTTACCTCATTAGAAATCCTGGCAATTGCTTATGTGCCTATTAACTATGGCAGTGTGACTAGTAATATTTGAGCATGAATTCCACTAACTAGAAGAGAGTAAGAGACCTGTGATGAAAAATAGTGTGGAAATATTGCCATTTGTTATCTTTTGCCTCTCTGATAATTTTTCAATGTCTACAGCAGTGGGGAAAAACAGAATCTATCAGACACAGAGGACTACATAAACTCATTGCTTTTAGTACTTCTTTAATAGAAATTGGAAGTCCCAGCCTGTCATAGGGATTACAAACAGAGAAAATAATTATAGAAGTTTCTTATGTGCTACAGGCAATTTCATAATGTAAAATTTTCAGACTCAATAAATCCTTCAGAAGACACATTTTGGAAGTCAGAAAATTGAAATGGTTAGAAGCCACTGCCATAAATCTGTACACAATTCCCTAAAAATTGAAAATATTTTAAAATGTGACAGATCAATGGTCTAGTAAAGACATACTAAAGTTTAAATTAAATTAAAAATAATGACTCTTACATTTAATTATTACCCATTTTATAATCTAACTTTTTATTTATATATTATGATACCAGCTGAAAACTAAATTTAAAATCCATCATTTCAATCCTTAAACTAGGAATACAGACTACCCAAGGCACAATCACAGTAATGGAGCAATCTTAGTGCATGTATCCTGTTACAGGCTGTATTTGTCTTGATCAGTGTTTCTCCTCCTTGCAGTATTCATGAATATTTAACTCAATATTATATATATTCAACAAAATAGCTGATATTTCTTTTTTCTACAAATCTGAGCTAAATATTAATCAGATAACAAAGAAACTATCTCCTTAGATCGACATAGAGCTAGGCAGTGTAAATCTGGGGCAAACATAAGTTAAAAATACAGCAGTGCCTCTCTTCTGTGGTACATTGCTTTTTTTCTTTACTTCATTTAGCTACCTGTGATGGTCCTGACTGTGGCACAACTGGGGACAACATAATGCGGCATCTACTTTAAGTGTTACTCATTCATAATAACCTAATTAGAAGCTTTGAAAGCAAAGAGGCAGTAATTCATACTAACATTTATGAAATAAGTCTCCAGTCCCTGGAATGAGGCACACTCAAACCCCCTCTGCACTACACAGCTGATGTCCTTGGTTTAATCCACTGGAGCAGTTCCCTGAGGGTGTAGTATTTTTTTTTTTTTTTAAACCTACCTCTTTTAGCAGGATTTTGAAGCAGATGAGGTGGTGTACATTGCCTTTGGGGTTTGAGACTGGTTATTTCCAACTGGTTTGGTGACTTATTAGCTGAACATCACTGCTTTGTAGAAATTTACCTGTTTAATTCTTCCCTTTCTAAAGGGTGGAGAACATGGCCATGCGACTGGAAGAAGTAAATGAGAGAGAGCACTGCATGAAGGCCTCTCTGCAGACAGTTGACATCAGGCTTGCTCAGCTGGAAGACATGATGGGGCGAATGGTGACTGCCTTAGAAAAGATGGCTGGCATTGAGAGAGGCGAGACAGCTAAGATCCGATCCAGGACCTCATCTGACTGTACTGATGCAGCCTACATTGTACGGCAGAGTAGCTTCAACAGCCAGGAAGGAAATGCCTACAAGCTTCAAGAGAGCATTGATCCCACGGGAGAGGAGTCCATGTCCCCAACGTCACCTACGATCACATCCCGCTTGCGAAGCCACTCCTTCTATGCAACAAATATTAAGGACAAGTGTGGGTTGGAAAAGTTGGAAAGCATTTTTAAAGAAAGATCTCCAAGCCTGCATCGGGCAATCAGTTCCCACTCAATAGCAAAAGAAGGAAAGGCTCCTTTACCCCCTACCAGCACTTTGTCAATTGCCCCAGATTCCAGAAGACCTTCGTCTTGTATAGACATCTATGTTTCTGCCATGGATGAGATGCATTCTGACACAGAACCTCTTGAGAGCTCCATAAATATTCTTGGTCCTGAAGATGCAGCTCTCCCGGTTCACATAGCCTCTTCACTTTTAACTAATAGTGCATACATCAGCAGTACAGCTGGTGAAAAGATCTCTGGCAGGAGTCTTGATTATGAGGAAACTTCTGGAATAGAAGCAAGAGCATTTTCTTCAGACTATTCACAAATCACAGAATGCCAAATCCCATGGGATTCAGACCCTCCCTTGTATCATACTTTAGAGCGATCTAAAAGCAGTCGTTACCTGGCTACTACTCCATTTATTCTGGAGGAAACACCAATTGTGAAATCTCACAGCTTCATGTTCTCTCCTTCTCGAAGCTACTTCAGCAGCCTTGGCATCCCAGTTAAAACAGCAGAGTACACAAGTATTACAGATTGCATAGACACAAGGTGTGTGAGCGCTCCCCAGGCCATTGCAGAGAGGGCCAGTTTCCCTGGAAGTCTCAGGGGCAAAGTGGAAGACTTGGGATGCTGTCACCCAGAGAGAGAAGCTGAACTAACCCACCCAAGCTCCGATCATGAGGATATTGAGGTCAAAGACAAGAAGGGAATCCCCTTATCTCCTCAAGACAGCAGTGCTACAACAACTCTACCCAACAGCATCCCACTTCCAAAAATAGAGCGAGCCAACAGCTACTCTGCTGAGGAGTCCAACGTGTTGTATGCACAGCACACACGAAAGAGCTATTCCATCAGTGACAAACTTGACAGGCAGCGAAACACAGCAAGCCTGAGGAGCCCCTTAGAGAGGAGTAAGTCCTCGAGGCCAGACAGCAGAGGAGACAACCTGTCCATGAGGAGACTGTCAAGAACTGGAGCCTTCTGCAGCTTTGAAAGCAAGCACACTTAGGCTTATACAAAGGTCACCAGCAGTCTAAGGGTCATCTGCTCTTCAGTCTGTTTTTCTTAGCAGACTTTTAAAAAGCTCTCACATCACCCCATGTTGAGTACAATTGGCATTAGCCATGGATCAAGGGAGCACATTTTCAACCTCAGCATCACCACTGACATACTCAACCTTGACCCACTTTACATTTGCATTGAAGAAAAAAGGGAGGAATGAAAGCTTTACAAAACCTTCTGTAAACAAGAGGAATACTAAGCCCCCTTAATGAAGTCAGAAGACATAGATTAATAGCTCCAGATATCTGCATTTCATTACAGGGTATCCTAAGACCTTTTATCATTATTCAAGTTTTTAAGATGCAGGAATTAACTGGCAAAAAAGAAATATACAAATTATATGTTACAAACTTCATTACAACTTCTTTTTCATCTATGTCACCATTATGATGACTGGTGAAAAGCATTTGTTACTTCTGTAGGAACTGGCAGCAAAAACACCTAAAGTCTCCCAAGTCCCTTGCATCCCACACTTATGGAAATGAAGAAAGATGAACATAACAACAACTATAAATGTTCATTTGTCTCCTTTTGTATCAACTTCTAGTGCCACAGAAAGTTTATATTTTCAAGAGCAGAAAGGGAAATGAAATGCCTTTTTTACTGCAACTTAAATGGAAGAAGAATTTATGTTAAAATGTCAGGTGATTTCCTGTGTACAACAGGCATTCTAGATTCTAGCACAGGTGAGCAAGCTCAGGATGAATGTAATTAAGTGGAATAGTATATATTTATTTTTTTACCACATTTGTCATCAGTATGTTGTCTCACTAAGTCAAAGGATATGATGAAACAGTAAGAATAGGATGAGCAGAGCAGAGCATAGTAATAGTGTCCAGTTCTCACTGCTCAGTTTAATTATATATAAATTGGGGAGATTTATCCACCATGCTGCTACCAGGTTCTTCTTGCGGTTTCATTTCAGCTGCCTATTCTTCATATCATTCCCCCACCTAAAAATATACACCTTTTTTTTCTTTTTTTTAATGTGAACATAGCCCTATTTAGACTTTTTAAATTATACAGGATTTATCATGAAGTGTGAATCCAGATTCATGTAATTAGACTGAAGCTGCTTAAAGGAAAGCATTTTTGGCAGAGGACTGAAAAACACTAGAATTTCTATATGCTTCTAAGGTAAGTAAAAGAACCAAAGTGAAACTGCAAGTGTCTGTAAACAGCAAAAGCCTTCAGTTCTGAGTAGGCATCCACCGTTCATCAGCATATCACACAGTGAGAACTTTTAGTAGGAGAAAGTGTGTCTGAACGGTAGTGCTGTTTCAGGTTTGGTTGAAGATGGGTGTAACTCCATTGCCTCCACCCACATTCCAAGGGCCACATTGTCAACCAGAGTTTCAAACTTCTCATGAGACAATGTCCAGTGGTCACAGGTGGAAGGGTATACAGAAGACTAAAGAAGGGTGGAGAAGCATAAGCTGCAACTGGAAAAACAATTCACATTCCTTTATGATGGCACAACTTTTAAGCTTTTAAAAAGTTGACATTAGTATTATCAGATGTTAAAATATCTCAACAGTTACCAATACCTATGTAGAACCAGCTCTTTTTTGTTATTAAAAATGAACATTTGTGAGTGGGGTACATATTTCACATTATTTAAATTGAATTATCTTTCAAAGGCAGCTTTGAGAATACAAGTTGATATTTTCTCACTGAGTCCTCACCCTGGGAGACTCTGAGCACCATCTGAGAGTTAAGTCCTAAAGGCAACTAATCCAGACAGAAAAATAATCATCATCCTCAAGAAAGGGGGCCAAGAAGATAAAAACATTTAGGTAACAAGTCACTGCGTTGGAAGTTCAGGAAACAAGGAAATGCAGCAAGGGGATGTTAAGAACAATGTGTTTCACACTTCCTGCACCAACGTGTTCTTTGCTTTCTTCTGTTTGATCAGGCTTTCAGTGAACTAAACTCCACCAAGACACCATGCTTATGCAATTGCCTTGCAGGCCACGTGCAGCATTACAGTCACATGGCGATACCAAGAAAGGTCGGAAACCTTTCTGTGCATTATGAAGCATGCTTGTGGCAGGCTGATTGTTGAACAATAGCAAAATGCCGAGGGGCAAAGGAACTTGTGTTTAACAATATGCTTCAAATGTGCCAACCTTCTGTTAGCAGCCTTTTCCTAAGGCTTCTCCAAACCTATCTATCTATGGAGAGTAGAGGGGGATATTCTTACTTTGTTTTCTTTGTTACTTTTATGAATGTCTGCTAAAACTGTTGTGGACTCTTTCATCGTCATTGCATTATTGGTCTACTCAAGAGGACTTTCAGATTCATTAGAAATTCCTCAACAGTGCTTAGTGAATTAGGCATAGGGCTCTCCTCTGGGGTAGATTCCATTGGTTAGTTTGTTAGTGTAAAGAAGTTTGCCAAGCCTAGAAGCTGTATAAATATTTAGGATACAGCACCTTACTGATCTGGAGCACAGGTTCCAGGTAAAATGAAACAGAACACTTTATTTACCTCTTAAAATTTGCCATTATATATAAAATGTAAATTCAGATGTTAAAAGTGTGATTGCAGGAGGTCAGAACACTACTTTTCCTGAATGTTTCCCATTTATTCTACAATGTGGTGTCTATAGAAAATATTATGATGGATGTTAGATTATTTGATTTTCACCTGGTTTTTACACATTGCATCAAACAGCTCCTTTTTGAATGATAAAACATTCCCATTTCTTGCAATGGGACGAGACTTCCCACTCTTGATATTATGACCATTTAGTGAGATAGAAGTCTCATCATCCATCATCATGTAGCTATAGCATGTGCCATATGATGTATTCTGTATCAAAGAATAGTTTATGAAATAGACACATATATAGTTGTGACATGTGATAATATTAGTGAACGTTACAGGGCAGGTTTAATATCTCATTACATGGTCTTGTTTGTAAATCTGTAACATTCAATAAAATAGCACATGTTGCATCAAACATTAAGTTCCACTATCCAATTATTAGCTTATGTATGGAATATGCATTTCTGGTCACAGTGTGTAAGTTTGGTATGTTTTGCACAATTCTTTGTATAGCTCCACTTAAACGTCTGTATGAGCTGATGTATAAACCTCTAATGAGCCACTGTGGGCTGTGACAGATGAGTTGTGATGGTGTGAAAGACAAACTGGCATGTTATGCAAAAGATTATAAGACATATGAACTTTAGTAATATTTTAAAACTCAACTGAACTTAGCTGTTTGTTTACATATGCTGGAAGAAGCAGTGTGCAGTATTTTATAAATATTTTCCTATAGTAATCCATTCTGTTGTTTCCAGTTTAAGTGATTCTATTCTACAGTTGGGGTATACACTTGTCCTAGGTATTGTATTATAGCACATTATTCTTTCACAATAACAGTGTGATATGACTGAAGTAGTTTCTCTTCCTTAAAGTCCAGTCTTTTTTTGTGTCAAAGAAAATGCATGCATTGTTCCATGAGTTTCTTTGGACTGTTAGGAGACCTAACATTTTGCTATTGCCTGTCTGTAAAGATGAATCCAGTTAGGAATTAATTCAAACTTTTGGATGTTTACATTATTTCCATTATTTTTGATCTTTAGCAAAGTAAGTGATTTTTTTATTATTTTTAAAAGACAATTGTATTTTATGAAATTTGAATACTCAACACAAAATGCGAACCTACAGCAGTGCTCAGACATTTGGCTCTCTCTTTTTTTTGGAAGAGATCAGGTGCTACACTATTTTCTTAGCACAAGTGCCAGTTAACAAATGGCAGTGAGGGGATAATTTGAAAATA